GTCGTCTCCTCCGGTCCTTGGTGTAAAGGACCCGGCAGGACAAAGCGAAGCAAGGCTTTGAAACTCGGGACTGCCAATTTTTGAAACTCGGGACTTTGAAACTCGGGACTGCCAATAACGCTTTCCCCGTTAGCGTTTTGGACTCGTCTTTCTGCAAGTCCTGCGGGCTACGTTTGTGTTCGGGCTCAAGTCGTTCTTCCCAAAACTTAAACCGCCTGCCAAAGTTTTAGCTAAATGCTGTAGAGCCAGCGAAAATGTGCACAAGTGCAAGAATTGACTCTTTCTGAAACCAAGAAGGAGGCTGGAGGACCTCCGGCTGGCCGGGGCGCTCCCCAGCGCCCGCTAACCCCAAGAGCGGATTCACCCCTCGTGGCAGTCCGTGGGGTTTCAGGGACTGACCCTCGGCGTCACTTAACTCGCGGAGCTCCCTGAGACTTTCAGCCGTCATTGTGTGACAGGGAATTACTGCAATTAATTCCCTATGTATAGGTACGCTGCCTATAGCAGTCTAGGTATCATTTAATGGATTAAAAGCATCACGTTCAATTCCAAGTAGCGGCCAGTCTGGTCACTATGTATATTTCGAAAAGACATTGTTTTCCTCAGGGCAAACAAGACCTTTAAAACCGGTGTTGGTGTTCCTGGCACGATATTTTGTGTCATTTGAAGAACCTAATCAGTCACGACAGTTGTATTTCTTCCAGAGAGGTTTCTGAATTCAAACCTTCACCTATGTGCGCTAGGATTCTGGACGAAATCACAACCAAGTATAGGGGTGATTTTTCCATCAGTGAACACCAAAACCATGCTTGCACTGCCTGCTGACCTGCTGTTAGGTTGCAGGTACAACCACACTGATTTCATGCAGGTTAATGTGATTTTTTTTTTTTCCCTGTAGAGCTGATCAGCCCAGCCTTGCGGTCTGTGGAGTGGAAGCTGCAGTGGTAATGCACAGTAATTCACAAAAATCCCTTCTGAGCTGGAAGGAACCTGCCACGCTTTCTTTAGCTGTGAAGATTTCTACTTTGGCTTTTTCTACGTGCTCTAAGATGTTCAGCAGACAATTTTCCACCGCACACTGGAAACTCATGGTCTCTTCTTTCTCTCTAAGGAAATTTCTTCGTAAATATTCATTAGATACACACTGATGTCCCTGAAGCTCTCTGGGGAATAGGGAGCCCCGTCAGGATAGAGGGCAGCAGATCACACGTGTTTCATTAAGATGGCATAGGGCAAGTGTGAATGGAACTCGGCTGTCTGAGAACTGGGTGAAATACAAAGAAAAACAGTTAGACGTGCTGTTCTGCTTGTGAAGAAGGAGTGCTCTGAAACCCTGACCTCAGAATATGAAGCAGATTTGAAAGTGAGCGGCGTCTGCTGCAGCAGTGCTGCTGGTGCTGTCACTAAAGGGTAAATTTAAGGGCACTTTCCCTGAGGGCTGATTACATTTGACACACGCCACCCCCACCCCACTGCAGGGCAGATGTAGAAATCTTCTGTTGCAGCTATCTGAGTCGGCCTCAGGTGGAGACATCTCTTAATTGCTTTGCAAGCCTCAACCTTAACAACATCTGTTACTGATCAGTTATTTCCTCTTTGTGAGCTGTGAAGGCAAAGTAATTCTGCTTGGTCTGTATCAACACACCTTAGCACCCCACAGGGAGGGAATGGGTTCATCTGCCAGTCTGTTGACTTGTTACCCGATAGAATGATTCTGAGTGTTTTGTTAGTTTTGTAGCAGTAAGCCTCGAGGAAGATCCACTGGTGATTTGGAAGCAGAAGAAAGGCTGAGATCTGATCTGGCAAAGCTTGCTGGCATTGAGCATTCATGAAAATTAATGCTGACAATTTCCTAGGTTAGTTAATGAGACTGTGTGCTACGTTATGCAGCTTCTGAATATGAAAAAGCAACCCGAACAAATCCCAAACCACTAATGGTAATTGTGAAATATGGTGATTTTGATTTATCCTTGAAAATGTGTTTGTGAAAGAAAGACAGCCTTTTTCTTGCTACTTTGCTTCTCCTGTGCCTGTGTGAATATTACAGACAAATTGCCTGGTTGATAGCTTTGTCACTTACAGAACAAAGAAAAATTGCATTTCATTTTTTTCCCATAGTTTCCATTTCCAGTAAGCAAACTTAAAGAGCAAACTGGACTGGACTACGCTTGCTAAGTCTGTGTCTCCTAATATTCTATTTCTACAGGTGCTTCAAGAAAGTCAGGGCAGACACAGAAGGACCCTGGTCATAGTTCACCTTCACCGCTTCCAGCAGTTTAGCGTTCAGAAATTTTCTGAGCCGAAATGTCCATCTGGATCTTAATGTTTAATAGTTGTCAGTAGGCCCACGCTTCATTCATTTGTCCAGTCCCCTTCTTAAAAATATGTTATCCTTCTCTTTGAAATCGGGAGTTTCCTTAACAATTCCTCTCAGTTTGTACTGATATAAAAAGAGTGTGTTTTGGCCAACTTGCTCGTTCTTTTCTAATGTCTTAATGTAAAAGGGTGAAAGCAATATTCCGGAAATTCTTTTAAGCTGAATATACATTACAGTAGCTGATGTAGTTGGCCGGGCGCCAGCACGCAGCCTGTGTTAAGTCGGCCGGCGTATCGGGATGCACGCGTATCCTCTGTTAGGGCTGAAGTAAAGCACAGCGCCCCACGCGCTCAGTCCCACTGCACTCTTCTTTCTGTGCTCTGCAATATGGATTCGAAGATAAAAAAAATCCTCCTTGAATAAACCTGGTTTTACTAGAATGGCTCAGGGCCGCTTCCTTTCTTCTGTACCCTTTTCTTTTCGTACCGTATCGTAGCACGTCAGCCTTAACAGACAACATGTTTACAACTCGGATGAAAGGGCTACACCCAGCTCAGACGTTATCTGTTCACAAGTGCATGTCGTTTTACTATGACTCGTTAGCAACAGAGTTCATGCCCTCATCTTGATGAGTTGGTTCGCGCATCAAAAAATGTTTGATAAGCCAGTGATGTGCAGGATTAAGGGCTGGCTCTTGAGGTATGCTGCTGTCAAGCCAAGGTTCTGCCATCTTGGAATGGCAGCCAGTACTCGCTCTTAAATTAGCATGGCATGGTTGAATTTCATAGCATGTTACTATTCTGCCAGCTCTGAGGTACGCCAGTTCTGCTCAGTAGATCAAAACACTCGAAGGTCCCACTCACGCTAGAGGGCACTCTCAAGACTATAAATTGTTCTTGCTGTTGCGAAGATGTTACTGTTCCGCCGACAGCAATGTGTGGGGTTTACAAAGGGGCTGCTTTCTCCCGGGTTTTTCTCACGGTTGTTGTTCCTGGCCTTTCCACTTGTGTGCCTTCATTTCTTATTTCCTCTTATTTTGCCTTTCTAGATTATTTTAATCTATCAAGAAAAAAAAAAAACAACTGAGCTCCGACGGTGATAACTGCCATTACTGACCTAACGTGGTGCCACGGTGTTCTGGTTTCTTCCTCTGCAGGCAACAACATTTTTCATTTAATACGAGGTGGTTGTCCTAAGAATTCTTTAAATCTGTGTCCAAACGGTGCTATTCCATTATTCTATATGGATTTACCTGGGAGAGGCTACGGGCACCCCTGCCCTTTCACTAGTCCCACGCAGTACAAAACATCCTCTCCCTCACACGGCATGGGAAGGGCTGGGCAAAACCTTCCATCCTCCACATTGCAGCTGCATCAGCCCTGGTCTTGTTAGTTGTTGGGGAAATAAGTCCTTGCTTTGAGACAGCTTTGCGTGTTGCGCCTCGCAAGCTCGCCTTTATCCACTCCCTAAAGCAGCCGTTTAGCTGGAAAAACCCAGGGTACGTCCATTCAGCTTGAAGGGGCCATGTCAGCGCATGCTGGCGAAGAACCTGGCTCTCGGCCCTCACCATGTCTAACAAACGATTCCCCAGCAGCAGCCCACTAAGTGCATTTAGTTCAAATATGTGTGGCTGTATTGTCAATCCTGGATAGAGGAGAACTCTGTCCAGAAAACAGAAGCTGCACAGAGTCAAAGCGAGTCCCCCAGCGCTGCCAGGGTAACGTGCCACAGCTACAGGGACCATCACTAGGGCTAATGTGGAAATTTTCTCCGTTACCGCCTTTTTGGTTGAAATCTGTTTACACTGGGAAGTCTTGAAGGCACTCATTCTACCTCTTTGCTCTCTGCTGAGCAGTTCCCATGAGTGGCGTGATATAAGCTATAAAAGTAATGTTCAGCCCTAGGCCTACCATCCAGGGTGCCAGTTAATAGAATGAGACTTTTTTGTGCCGCTGGCATGTTTCCCCTGGATGGAAATCATCAATACGTTTAGTGTAGGGCTCCGACTTCCATCAGTACCAGCTTTGGTATTTTAATTATGTAGTCTGGTGCAAATCAATCTCTAATAGACAAAATGTCTTATCCCATTTGTAATGCCTTAACTGGCTAACATCTTTTATTTCTTCCACTTGACCTTTTTCATGTATATTAAAATGCCTTATAACTTATTCTATATATTTATGCTCAGTACGTTCCTGCCATGTATATGCATTCATCTTTTTTTTTTTTTTTTTTTTTTTTTTTTTTTTTTTTTTTTTTTTTTTTTTTTTTTTTTTTTTTTTTTTTTTTTTTTTTTTTTTTTTTTTTTTTTTTCCCCCTTGCATGAGTTCCCCCTTGCATGAGAATTTCAGAGAAGATACTGGTGTGACACAATCGTATCTTCTTTTCTTCTATTGTATCCGTCCTGTCTGCACGATTTGGAAGATCTCCAGATTGATGGTGAAGGTGTTCAGTATTGCCTCTGTTGCGAATACCGATTCTTTATCACTACCTAAACTCCAGGAAGGCCTACCTATATATACCAATATATCACCACTGAAACTGGTGCAAATACAAAACTGTAATATTGGCATTGAATAACTGACTGAATAACAGAGGAGAGTAGCCTGACATTCCTCCTAGCTCTTCAAAATTCACAGCTCTCCAGTGTTCATCCCAGACACCGGTCATTCTTCTGGCCAAGTTCAGCACCCAGCACATGAGCTTGCTGCTGTTTTATTCCAACTTCAGTTCTTCCGGCAAAGTTGGAGATACTTCTTTGTCCAGCCCCCTATTTATTTCAGTACCCAACATAAGCAAGCAGAGATCACGGAAGGTATATTCTTATTTTTTCTGCAGAATGTATGTACTTAAAATCAGTGGACCAAATCCTCAGGAAATGGGTTTGATGTCTTAGTTACCTTTTCCAGTAATCTTCTTTAGAAGCTATAGATAGAAACTTAGTGCTGTTCCAGAATGGCAAGGCAAAACTTTTCTGAACTTACTCAGTAAATGTCTTCGAACTATATTTTATCTCACATAGACGTGATTACGGCCCCATTGGTACAGATACAAACTGCATTCCTGAATTCTGAAAGAATGGGTCTATGCAATTGCAAGGCAGGAAGAAATGCTTCCGATAATCTTTCACG